AGGGAGGGAGAGGGGGAGAGGGGAGAGGGGGAAAGGGAGGCGGCAGGAGGGAGAAGAGACTGGAAACAAAACGGAGCTCACCAGGACAATGACCAGAACCTGCTTGGAAACCCCAGTTCTCTATAAAGGAGCCCCTGTTATAGAATCTACTTTAAAATACATTAGCATAAGCTGTGGCAAATAAGGAACTCAGGCCCCCTCTTGGGGAAGACAAAATATCTTAGTTCTCAAATGATTTCCAAGAGTACTCTTGCAAACACAGCAATAAGCACATGATTTAAAAAAACAACAACACCAAAAAAAAAAAACATAAATAAAAAGCAGCAGAAACAGAGCTAAGGAAAATACCCACAAGGGCTCCCACTATTGGAGTTTTCAGACACATGCTTAACTTGCTCACCATACTCAAGGATATAAAAGATAAGGCTGAGAATTTTGGCAAAGAATCCAAAATCTTTAATGATCTAATATGATTGAGTTCTATACTCCCCCCTCCAAAAAAAAAACTAAAAGAATTCAATGAATAGATTGAATGGTAGATTAGACAAAATTAAAGAGAGAGTTTGTGAACTAGAAGGTAGACCATATGAAAATATACAGAATAAAATGCAAAAAGAAAATTCAGAAAAGAGAGCAAAAGATGTGGAGAATAGTATGAGCAGATCTATCATAAATGTAGTTGGAATCCAAATATTAAAGCCTTATAGGTGCACTAAGAGAAAGGGGGTGAATAGAGTATAAGAGAAAGTGGTTGAAACAATATCTAAAGACAAAACTTTCCAAAATTGACTAAGAACACAAGCCAGGGATTCCAGAAGTTCTACAAACTTGCAAATGAACAAAGATGAAAAACAGATACAATAACAATGCAACTTAAGACAGAAGAAAGAAAAAGGAACATAGAACAAGGGGGAAAAGAAGTTAAGTGGTAGATTTAATGCAAATATATCAGTAGTTAGATTAAATATAAACACAGTAAATGTCCCAGTTCAAACACAAAAATGGTCACACGCTGGATCTCATTTACATCTTTATGTCTCTGATTACTGTTAACAAAATCTACAACTTAACTATCAGGATATAGGAAGGTAAGAATAAAAGAATAAACAAAAGTCTTGCCTAATCAAACACTGCTGATTTTGGCCCTTGAATATTTTCCCAAATACTTTTTGGGGCAAGGAGTATTTGCCCAAATTCACAAAAAGTGCATTTCATAATGATAATTTCAATAGGAAAATTTAAAACACCTTTGCTTTGCATGTGTAACAACAAATACATCAGAACAGGCCGACTTAGCTGAAGCCAGTTCTCATCACAGATTACGGTTGTCACGTACCTTTTCAGGGCTAGAAGAGCAAACAGACTAAAGGAGAAGGGTATGGGGCAGTGAAGACAGGAGCCCTGTGAACTCAGGGTGGGAGAATATGGGGCACAGGAGCGTGCACCAGGGAGCCCCTCCAGGTGACCAGGACACACCCCACAATTGGAATTCAAGAGAACATTTGACCTGAGTGACCAGAACATGGTGATGTCAACCCCTGTCGTGCTAAAACTGTGCCTAGAGAGAGAGCCGCGAGAGAAGAGGTCGGGAGAGAGGGTCGGTGGTCAGATCAACACGCACCTGGAGAACAGAACAGAACCCCCCTTGGCAGAAATCCGAAAGAACGAAATAATACAGAGAAGAGCAGAAATCAACAAACTAAAATGACATGTTCTATAGAAAGATGAATGAAGTCAACAGCCCTAAAAAAATCCCATCAAAGAAGAAAGGTACAGTGGCCACATGCGGGAGCTGGAGGGGCTCTAGTGGCCCGAGCTCAAGAAGGCCAAGAGGGCAGGCTGGGGGTGCCCGAGGCCGTCCTGCCAGACGGGACCAAGAAGTCCTGGGGAAGAAGGAGGTGAACGACGTCATGGTTACATAATGGGAACTGAAACGTGAAACTGGCCCATAAAAAGGCATCTCTGTGCAGATGGCTGATGGCTTCATCACAGAATGCTACCAAACATGCAGGAAGAATCAAGGGAGTTTTGCAGGAACTCTTCCAGAGACAGGAAAAGACACATGGTCCCTTACCCACAAGCAAGCACCTCCTGTACTTACAGTCAATGAGGATGGTGAGAGAAAGACAATTGCAGGCCTTACAGGGTCAAGCAAAGCCAAGACCCTGCCCTAGAGCCCTCCACCCAGCCCAGCAGTGTGGAAAGATGAGAGGTCACAATCGTGTGCATCTCTTCCAGGAGCATCAAACATCTATCTGGGGCTCCAGCATGTCAGCAGAACAAAGGGGATGTCACAATCATCTTCATGGGTGCAGAAAGCACATTTGGCAAAATCCAACGACTGTTTGTGGTTTTAAAAAGAACCCTTGGCAAATAGCGGTGGAAGGAAGCTTACTGTGCTAAAGGGAGATTTAAAAAAAAACTCAGCAAAATTACATTTAGTGTGAACTAGATCAGGAACCAGACCACTGCCATTCAATTATAGTCTATGAGGTCCCGGCAGGAGTATCAAGGACGAGGAAGGAACGTGACCGTGACAAGGACCAGCCTCCAAGAAGTCAAACCTCCTTACATACGAAATCAGCACGATCCAGAGGCTGGAACTGACAGGCATGCTTAGCACGTCACTGGATATGAGGTCATCATACCAAAGCCCATGTCACTTCCACAGCCAGCACTGAGCAGAAAACAAACTATGTACAAAGATGTCCTTACAATAATAACACCAATTCAAAGATCCACGACAACTGTAATAGAAAATGCACAAGGTCCCTTCACAGACAACTGCAGGGCATCATCCAGGGGATAGAGGAGGCTCGGGCAGTGGAGAGGAGCTTGTGGTCATGCTCAGAGCCTTACAAAGACCTGTGCAAGAGCAGCGCTGTTGTCATCCAGTCAGATCCCTAGGTACACAGCAAACTGGTTTAGAATGTGTTTGTGACCTAAAGGACCAAGAGTAGCCAAGACACTGCCGGAGGGAACGCAGGGCCTCGGGGCCCGCATGCATGTGGAGAGCTCTGCAGCCCTCAAGAAGGTGGTGCTGGGGTAGCCTGGGGGTGTGGCCTCCTGGCCAGTCAGCTGGAGGTGGACTGTCCCTTCTCCACTGGGCTCTATGCAGTTTCCCAGAGCTGTTTCTCACCAAGGGTGCCGGGTGGGGAGCCCAGTGTCAGAAGTCACAGGTGTCGGGAGTTCCCTTGGGCAGTTTCCCTGCCCCACATGTTGCAAGGGGCAGTTGAGCTGGTGAGCCTGTCCCTCTGTGCTGATCTCACGTCCACACCCAGGCACACACAGACCTCCTGTGGGGAAGGCAACAGGGACACGGGCCAGGAGCTCAGCAAGGTGGCACACGGGGCGTGTGCTGGTAATATGAACTTCACAGGTGCCCTCACAGTTGTGTGACTTCTGTCAGGTGGATGGGTCCCCCCCAAGTGGAGGGACTGCAGCAGCTGCTGCCAGAAGCTGGTGCTCAGGCGTCAGGGGCTGGCAAGGCAACGGCCAGCTTCCCCTCAGCAGCAACTGCAGGAAGCGCCTGGCACCTGGGAGGGTGGGCTCCACCTCTGCTCCGGCTGCCCCAGCACTCCTGCAAGGAGGGCCAGAACAAGACAGCTCAGCGTGCCCAGAGTTAAGTACCAAGACCAGTTGCAGCCACACACCGAGGCCTCCTTGCGGGTCTGCTCCCACCTCACACAAATGGCCTTATCACTTACCTCCACCCTGTAAAGGGAGCATGCATGAGCTCTAGGTCACTGCAAGCAAAAAAAAAAAAAAGGTTAAAAATGCTTTGTTTTTTTAAAATTTTTTTTAATATTTATTTTTTGGTGTAGATGGACACAATACAATGCACTTTATTTTTATGTTGTGCTGAGGATTGAACCACCGTCCTGCCCATGCTAGGTGAGCGCTCTACCACTGAGCCACAATCCCAGCCCCTGTTTTTTAAATATTTAGCTTACTAAAACTTACATGTATTTGTCACACCTTCTGATAAAGGGTCAATAGAAACTTTAAGTAATAAAAACATGTCACTGGAGGACACGGTTCTGGGCAGAACGAGATGCCTAGGATCAGCTAAGGGAGAGATGTTCAGAGAAGATTTCTAACCTAGAAAAAAAGTGTTTATGGATTTTGTGGATGATTGATGGTGGGTAAAAAACCACTTTGGTATTTAGCTTCTTGGGTACATTGACAGGAGTGACTAACAGTTTTATTTTAGAGCATCAATATTTATACCCCACAAGAAATTACCTTCTTTGCAATTATTTATGTTTTTTATTTTTTAAAAAATTTAGATGTTGACTTCAAAATATACAAGTAATTTGACAGCTTGTCAAGCCCTTTCTGGGAGAACCAGAGCCAAGACTTCAAAGTCCCCGCCTACCTGCCTTGTCAAGCTGAGCCAACTGCATGCCCCAGCACAGGAGTGAGCCATCGTCTGGTAGAGAGACAGGTCAGAAGAACAGGACAAATCCCAACAGCAGCTGAATGTGACAAGGGCCTGGTGCAGCACGGAGCCAGGTTCAGAACAAGTGTCCAAGGCTGGGTCCCTGAGTGCCTTGAGGAGGAGGGAGTTCAGGGCAGGCAGGCCCTGGGCAGGGTGGGCAGGGACCCCAGGCAAATGTCATGCAGAAGGGAGGGTCTGGCAGGAGGAGTGATGGAGGGGGACAGAGGAGGGAACATTCAGGGAAGAGTAAAAATTGAGAAGCCAGCTGTTGGAAGACAGGAGTGCCACCAAAGCCAGGGCCAGATGGGGCAGCCTGGCCTGCTCTGAAGAAGTCCGACATCCCTGGAGAGAGCGCCAGAGGAAGGTGTGCCATCTAGGTATGTGGTAGGCACACGCAGGAAGGCCACTCCCACAGTCTGTTCATGGAGGACACATCAGAGGCCACTTGGTGGTCAGAGCAGCCACAGGGCTGACTCTTCAGCTCTGGGAAGATGCGGCCCAACCCAGGCCTGCTCTGGTCTAAGCACCCAACATGAAGCGAGTACTCTGACGCGTGAGGTACCAGAACACAGGGCGATATGTGTTGGGGCCAGGGTTGCTGTGAACGCATGTCGGTGAGCCAACCGGACACCGGCTGCATGAAGTGAAGGCAAGACAGCCTGAGGGCAGACGCAGCCTGAGGACTACTGATCCTAACTCCTAAACACCCCAGGGGGGCAGTGACAAAGTTTGGTTCAGGGACACCTGAAGTCCTGACAAAACCCACCTCCGCCAGCACCAGGCTGTGGTCTTCTCCTTGTGGCCATGCACCCCCAGATCTCCCTGAGGGACACAGGGGGGCAGGGGAGATAGAGGCGCCCCACCCACACCCAGGCCTTGACAAATGAGCTTGCACCTCCAAACCCAGGTTCCAAAGACGGATGCCACCCCAGCCTGGGGCTGGAACAGGTCTGCTGGCTGTGTCTCCCCTCCTCCTGAGGCTAGGGCTAGGGCTGTTGCAGACCCTATGCAGTGCCCAGAGAAAGAGCAGGGCCAGCTGGCCAAGGCCGCTCAACTATGAGATGTCTTTTCTCCAACTGTGGTTTCCTGTGCTCCCCAACCCACCCTGACTACTGATCCTAACTCCTAAACCACCCAGGGGGGCAGTGACAAAGTTTGATTCAGCTGACTTGATTGGCCCTAGAGCCAGGTCTTGTTTTGTTTTTGAGATGAGGTCTCACTATGTTGCCCAAACTGACCTCCAGTTCTTGGATTTAAGTGATCCTCCTGTCTTCGCCTCCAGAGTAGCTGAAGGTACAGGTGCACCCCAGCATGCCATGCTGAGAATCAGGTTTGAACAGTGGGGCTGCACCCAACTACTTCCAGCCATTTTTCCAGGATCCTGGGTGACCCTTACACCTGCCAGCAGGGAGGAGCCTGTGGGAACCTGCGCCAGGGACAGAATGTGTCCCTGTCCACACTGCACTCTTAGGCTTTACAGGACCTGTCACAAGGAGTGCTATTAAGAACCTCCTAGCCAAGCTAGGCTCTGGAGTTAGGGCCAGCTGCATGGGGAGCCCAGCCAGTGTCCTCTCTCCTGAGACCTGACCCGCAGTCCTGCTCTCTAAGGTATGGGAGACCCCACCGAGATGACGAGAGTACTGTGCACCCTTTTGTGGAAGGTGGGAGCCAGGAGTCCTAGCCCTGGGTAAAGCTTGGGGAGTGGGGAGAGGGGCAGGCGGGGAACTGGTCTCCGCTAGGCTGAGGGGCAAACATCCTGGCTCTCGGCCCCACCACAGCAAGACTCACCCTGGCGCTCAGGAAAGCCCAGCGCCCTGTCCTCCAGCCACCTGCGCGGCCGCTGAGGAGACTGCTGCAACCTAGCTGGTCCCTAGGGGAGACTGCACAGGAATCTGGCAAAGGTCCCCGTCTGTGTGTTCTCCTGGTGGGCTAGCCCCTACACCCGCCGTGCAGGGGTGGGCACAGACCCGGCAGCCGCTGCGGATCCAAAGTGGCTCCGCCCCAAACAGTCACAGCGGCGGGCGCGGGCGGCGCGCCGTTCACCCTGGACTCCG